CAATTAAATGCCTCACTCTACCCTCGCGCTTGCTTGGAGACCTTAACAAAACTGCTTTTGTTGCGAACGTTACATTCTCTGCGTTTGTCCAAGCTGCGACAGACTCTGCCACTGAGTCCCCCGCCATGCCCCCCAAATACATCGACTACATTGGATGTCTTCCGCACAACACACCAGGGCACCAGTCACAAGACCAACAGCCTCGTGTGACCCAAGGACAACCGCGCCATCCGGACCAACATCAGGACGGGGGTTGGATTGAGTCCAAAGGAACAGAACCTCGTTTGACCCAAGCACAACCGCGCCATCCGAATCGGCATGAGGACGGCGGTTGGATTCAGTCCAAAGGAGCATCATAGCAATACATCATTGCGTCACAAGTAGCTATGAAGGATAGGTTGTAGCGAGAATAGTCGTTGGTTCCAAAGTCTTTGGGTTAGCGGATCGTCGCTGCCGTTAGTGTGTGACTCTCCCGTGGTCATGTTGTCAGGATGACTATGCCAGGTGTCGTATGTAGTGTGTGACTTTGCCGTTGTCATGACGTTTGCGTGGTTGACTATGCCGTTTCGTGTGGTTTGCGTTGGGTGGAGCCCGTGTGGTTGACTAGGCCGTGTCGTGTCGTTGGGTGGACCGTGCTTTTATTCACCGTTGCCATAAGTGTGCACTGTGTGACTTTACACTAACCCGTGTCGTGTCGCACGTGTTTCTGCTCACCGGTTAGTGCGGATGACTGCTGAATGCCGTCGTTTAGTGTGTGACTTTGCCGCTAGTGTCCTGCAAACGTAAGCCAAGTAATGTGGTTCATCATTTCTCACGTCTGCATACTACGGGAACATGTTGCTGAGAATCTCACAGCCACCGCATACCATCATTTACCAGACGCCAACAAACATGCGTCTTGCGGTACGCTTCTCTCAGCGTGGCGGCGTAAGCCGCCAAAAAGCCTTGTAGTTGTACGAAGCAATCGCTCATGCGAATGAGCATAATAAATGTTTTGAAACTCGTTCACATCCATCTTCGTTTCATGCTTGGTGTTTGAAGGAGTGAGCGCAGCTAACATCGAACCAACAGATTCATCTCCCAGACGAGACGCAGTCTCAATTATTAGCATGCCATCCACGTTCTGAAAAAGTAACATGCGCATGGGAAGCCCATGGGCGGCCAATCAATGAGAGCCCTCAACCAGTGTACTCCTAAGGCCTACTGTTAACGCAACGGAAAATTCACGCATTTTTCACGGAACGGTGAAAAGAAAGACAGGTTTGTTTCATAATAAAGCGTAGACAAAGGCGTAGACGAAACAAACCGAGGTTTATTGAAACAGCTCGAATTGCCATACTGTTTATATTGGGGTACCCGGAACGTATTCCGTAGTGCGGGCCCCCCTCGGTCGAGAGGAGGAGTCCCATGTGTTACCATTCTGTTCACAAGCCTTGTGTCCACAGAGTCAGCGTGCAAGAGAGAGAGTACCGCAGAGACAACTAGCGAGGTGGTCACATAGAAGGCTTCTAGTGGTGTGCCAGCCTCTGGAGCTGACACGAAGTGGAGTATTTCTTGCCTCCTCTTCCAGTTGAGAAATCGGGCTACCCGAGCTACAGCAGTCGTAAGTGAGAACCCATGGTCCTGAGATGACGAGAGCGAAGAGGAGAGCAAGGACGCCAGGCGCCGGCAGGCGTGGCATCTAGGGCGCAACACTGAGCGGTACGTGTGGTGATGTGATGACAATGTGGGATGATGTGGGAAGAGAGCAAAACCCACAATGTGTTTTGGTGTGTCAGGGAGAGACACAACCCCAACGGAGTGTCCTGCACGTTTGCATGGGGAGAGAGATCCCGCTGCTGCTGGGTTGATTCGGTGGCGTACCCAATCACCCATGTCGCACGTGATTCAATGACTAAACACATCAACCGGGTTTGGTGACCGAGGTTGGTGGGTCTGCTTCGACAGCGCTGGCTGTCACGGCTGTTGCCACCGTACGAAGAGTACGCAGCCATCTGGATCATGTATGCATACACTCTGCAAATACAGGTGTTGTTCCAAATCGAACAATAATTCGGTTCTGCGGCGTTACATTCACCATGTTGAACGTGGTTTCAATACCTGCTCCGCATCTAACGAGTGTGTGGTGGCCACAGCCAAGCAAGACAATACTCACAAACTTTTGTTGTTTGGTGTTTCGTACATACACGAATGAATGCTGGATCACATGGTGTGCTGTAAACGAGTGTATCACATGGACTAATCTGGCCTCAGATATGCGTTGCAGTTGTTTTGGATCACATGGTGTCCTGTACACGAGTGTGTATCACATGGGAAAATCTGGCTTCTTCAGATTTACGCTGCAGTCGTTAAAAGCCAGAGATTATGCAATTGCAAGTGAAGTATGTATGTCGACGATACTTACAGAAGGACAACATACACAATTGTTGGAGACTTGCCGTGAGAACGTGTAAACGCCGGAACCACGCACATAAATACTGTGTGGCGGCCGTGGTTGGTGGGCGTGTTTTCGCAACATGACTACAGCGCTACTCACCAGGGGTGTTTTACCTTTGTGGCGATTCACGCATGAAGACAGAGAGTATGAATGCCGGAGCCACACAAGTAAATAGGGTTTGGCGGCCGTGGTGTAAACGCCGGAACCACACACATATAAAGTTTGTGGCGGCCGTGGATGGTGGGCTTGTTTTCGCTACAGCGCTGCTTACCAGGGTTGTTGTCTCCGTGGCGATTCACGCATGATTACAGCGAGTATATACGCCGGCACCGCACGCATAAATAGTGTGTGGCGGCCGTGGTTGGTGGGCTTGTTTTCGCAACAGCGCTACTTACCAGGGTTGTTGCCTGTTGGCAATTCACCCACGAATAGAGAGAGTGTAAATGCCGGAGCCACACACATAAATAGTGTGTGGCGGCCGTGGTTGGTGGGCTTGTTTTCGCAACAGCGCGAGGTACCAGGGTTGTTGCCTGTGTGGCGATTCCCGCATGAATAGACATAGTATGAAAGCCGGAGCTACACACATAAATAGTGTGTGGCGGCCGTGGTGGTGGGCTTGTTTTCGCAACAGCGCTACTTACCAGGGTTGTTGCCTGTTGGCAATTCACGCATGAATACAGAGAGTATGAATGCCGGAACCATACACATAAATAGTGTGTGGCGGCCATGGTTGGTGGTCTTGTTTTCGCTACAGCGCTACTCACCAGGGTTGTTGCCTGTTGGCAATTCACGCATGAAGACAGAGAGTACCAATGCCGGAACCATACACGTAAAAAGTGTGTGGCGGCCGTGGTTGGTGGGCGTGTTTTCGCCACAGCACTACTTACCAAGGTTGCCTGTGGGCGATTCACGCATGAATATCGAGAGTGTAAATGCCGAAACTCCTCACACCAATATTGTGTGGCGGCCGTGGTTGGTGGGCTTGTGGTCTCAACAGCGCTTCTTACCAATTTGTTGTCTGCGTGGCGATTCACGCATGAATACAGAGAGTACGAATGCCGGAACAACACACATAAATTGTGTGTGGCGGCCGTGGTTGGTGGTCTTGTTTTCGCATCATCGCTACTTGGGGTCGGTCTTAACGAAGAATTCAGATCTCGAAATCACATTCAGATTTGGTTATAAGACCGGAAGATCCACAGAACTCTCTCGTTGATTGGCTGAAATGTTATGGAACCCGTCGAATCTTTAGGACTTATAACAGGACGACCCAAAACCAAATCGGGATTTGAAAAAGGGCAGGTTTGTTTAAGGCGTAGACAAAGGCGTAGACAAAACAAACCGAGGTTTATTGAAACAACTCGAATTGCCGTACTGTTTATATTGGTGTACCCGGAACGCATTGCGTACTGCGCGACCCCCTCGGTCGAGAGGAGGAGTCGCATGTGTTACCATTCTGTTCAAGCCTTGTGTCCACAGAGTCTTAGAGTGCCAGAGAGAGAGTATCGCAGAGACAACTAGCGAGGTGGTCACATAGAAGGCTTCTAGTGGTGTGCCAGCCTCTGGAGCTGACAGGTGGAGTCTTTTGTTAGTATACCCTTGTAAGTGTGTTGAAGATGATGGTATCACTTGTATTTAGGACAGCAGACACGATCA